TGCTATCTCTCTTTCTCTCTCTGTTACACCGGTACACACACACGCACACACCCGCACAGTTGCCCGACACTAGGAGAAAGACACCCATTCTGAGTAGATGCGCGCTTTTGTATGTGTGCGTCTGCGCACTCGCCGCCGCGAGTCGCCGGTGCTTTTTGACCGTCTCTCTCTCTCTCTCTCTCACACACACACACACACACACACACACACACACACACACACACACACACACACACACACACACACGCGTTCCTGATGCATCCTGGGTAGACTGTAGGGGTTCAACCTCCTGATGAGTCGGTGAAGTCCGACGAAACAGTCTGGTACAGTCATGTTTTTTTGAGTGTATAGCGAATTTGACAACACACACAAACGCTCGCGCACATGCGCACGCGCGAACGCACGCACACACACACACACACACACACACAGACACACACATGCACACGCGCGAACACAGAGAGAGAGAGAGAGAGAGAGAGAGAGAGAGAGAGAGAGAGAGAGAGAGAGAGAGAGAGAGAGAGAGAGAGAGAGAGAGAGAGAGTAGGCGTAATCGAAATCATATACCCTTGCTAGCCTTCACAAAGGTGGCGATCCACTCTTGCGCAGTGTCTGCCCCCTTTCCCTCCGATTCTAGTTCTCTTCCTCGTCCCTTGCCATCCTTCAGAAGGGGAGGGGGCAGGATTGGGTCCTCTAGTATCTATTTCCGCCTATCGTCACCCACCCTCATTCTGATATCCTCCCATTTCCCTCCTCTTTTCCCTCTCTCACCTCCTCAATTCCATAGTATCTCTTGGTTCTTATGCCACACATCCCTCGCCTCCCAGTACGTTTTCCGGTCTTCAAGTTGGCCTTGTCTTCTCCATCACCATCTTATCTTTCTGGTACTGTGCTCCTGACTCGTTCTGATTCATTTAATTTTTTTTTCTCTCTTTATTTTTATTTCTCTCGCCATAAAGGTCACAGGCCCTAACGTTATCAAATCCGTCGGATTCGTCAGGATTCGAGCTCATAATCTGTTTATAAGCAGTTCCCTGTGTGTACCATTCATCCACATGGACGTGCCGTTTCTTGCCCTTGCCAACGTTATTGACGTTTTCGCTTTGTCGTCTGCTCCTTCCGTTTTCAGTACAGCTTACTGTCTTCCTCTCTTTTTTTCCTGTTTTCTTTCTTCCAGTCATCCTCTCTCACTCCTGGGCTTGTATGTGTGTGTATCTATCTATCTATCTATCTATCTATCTATCTATCTATCTATCTATCTATCTATCTATCTGTATCGTCAAACACAAACATAATATCTATACATTATATATATATCGTCAAACACAATCATAATATGATGGTGGTGGTGGGAAGGGGGGGAGGAGAGGCGAGGCCTAGGGGAGAAGGATGGGAGAGAGTGCTGTCTTTTTTCCCCCTATCTTTTCTCATTTTACATCCAGCCGTCGTTTCCCACGACCTTGATGACTGCTCTGCTCACAAGCACTGCACGCGGGTTTGCAGAGAGGCACACACGCGCACACGCACACACGCGCGCACACACACACACACACACACACACATACACACACACACACACGCACACACACACACACACACACACACACACACAGAGAGAGAGAGAGAGAGAGAGAGAGAGAGAGAGAGAGAGATTATGAGTAAATTGTTACTCGTAGCGCGCCCGATTTTTTTTTTTTGTGTGTGTGTGTTTGGCGCAAACTTCTTTTTTCTTTGGGTTTATAGTTGATGAATTTCAGTTGATCCGAATTTGTCGTTGATTATTGAAGTTTAGGGAACTGTGCTCGTACGCACTTGGTATGTTCATCCTTTGATTTCTGTTCATATCTGAGTTGGACCTATGTTATGGTTTTACGGTCTATAAGTGGTTACGCACGGGCTCGCAGAAGCCCGTGCAAGACTAAAAGTGAGATGACTGATCTGGTGGGAACTTTCATGGTTCAATTGGAATTGACAGAGGTAGGTTGACAGAGGTAGGTTGACAGAGGTAGGTTGACAGAGGTAGGTTGACAGAGGTAGGTTGACAGAGGTAGTTTGACTGATTTGGTGGGAACTTTCATGGGATAACGGAGTGTGTGGGCTCATGGTTCAGCGCAGGCCGTAAGCTTTTCTGTTGCAATACAAAGTTTGTATCTTGGGGGGGGAAACGGAAAAGAGGTGTTGTCCTTCGGGACATCCGTTGAAATTGGAACGATTCAGAGAAGGGTAATATAGCATGGACCCTGACACGCAGAAATCGAGAAATGGTCTCCTCTCCCCCCCCAAAAAAAAGAAAAAAGTGATGGTCTCCTCTCCCCCCCTCAAAAAAAGAAAAAAGACTGACTCAGTCCTTCGGGATATCCGTTAAAATTGGAACGATACAGAGAACGAAGATTAGCATCGCCCTTGCGCTTTCAAGGATGACACGCATAAATCGAGAAATGGTCCAAATTTATTTAAAAAAAAAAAAAAAGGACTCAGTTGCTACACCCCTGAATTGTTGAAATGCAGACCTGAGTTCTAACCCAGATAGCTTCAGATGAAAAGAATAAGATCGTTCTAAATAAGCATCATCAAGATCATTCTGATCGAAATAAGCATCATCGGCTTGGTCAGCCTTTACCTAACCAACTACCTAATACTACGCGGCCTCATCAAACAGCGATAGTCAATGACTATCACGCTAATTTATTTATTTATTTTATCACCCTAAATTGACTATGTAGACTGTTTGGGATTATATTATAGTATTATTATTTTTTTTTTTTCGGGAATTATTATTATTATTATTATCAGGGTTGCCGGCGTCCGGGAAGGGCCGAACGCCCGAACCCGAACGCCCGAACCCGAACGCCCGAACCCGAACGCCCGAACCGGAACACCCGAACGTACGGGACCCCTTCGGAAGGCGTTCGGCCGTTCGGGCCGAACGCAGACCAAAAAAAAAGAACAAAAGAAAAAACACAAAGTTCTCAAAAATAAAAATGTACCAAACACAAATTTCTCAAAAATTTCCAAGAAAAAACTATGTTATGGAGAAAAATAAACTAAACAACATTTGCCTGGGCACTACATCCAAATGCTTTACCAAATTTAAATTAAAAATCAAATACAAAAAATAAACACTATGATAAAAATAAGAAAAACTAAAAAGAGAATTAAAATGAGTGAGTGTGCCAGCACCTTTTGGACACCGCCATCTTTGCCGATTTTTAATTATTTTTTGGCATTGACAAATGCCCTGAAAATTTACAGATATGTAGTTTACATAATCAACAACTCATTAAAAATTGTTCAAAAAATAATAAAATGTTTTAGGCCCCGAAATAAAGTGAAAACAAAAAGTTAAAAGTGAAAAAAAACAAAATAGTGAGTGGGCGAGCACGTTTTGACACCCCCATCTTTGAGGATTTTTAATATTTTTTTGGCTCAGCAGAATGGCTTCAAAATTTATAGGCGTGTAGGTTACATCATAGAGAACTCACAAACAAAAATGCAGAAAAATAAACTTATTTTTAGGCCCCGATTCTTTTTGTGGCGGGGCCGAACCGAACCTGGAGGTGTTCGGCCCCCGAACGGGACCCCGATCGCCCGAACGCTCGGGGGCCAGCCCGGGGCCCCACGAACGTGGGCTGGCCCCCAAACGTTCGGTCAGGTAACCCTAATATTATAGTGTTACAGGGAACCCCGTAGGGTAGGCGTCGGCCTTTGAAAGGAAAAAAAGGAAAGGACATTCATAGCCGCGATCTTGCGGTGGCATCATCCACGGCCGAAGCTGAACGGGAAAATAACATCGGCTTCAATCATGGCTTTGAATGATTTCGCCCCCTACCGGGGGCTACGTTCTTCCCCCGAATACAACGTACGGTCATTACAGCTGTATTTTTAGACTGAAAGATGCCCCAAATACATACAGCTATAATGACCGTACGTTGTATTCGGGGGAAGAAGGTAGGTCCCACTTAGACGAATGAAGCGATATTGACCGTAGATAGCAAAGATCAACGGCCAGATACTCGTAATCCGTGCAAATGGGACCTTGCCCCGGTAGGAACGCGTACGCCATGGAACGAGGTGGGGGCGTACGAGAGAGCCCTCTAAGGGCCAGATCCTACTAGCTGCTATTGTTCATTTCTGACCGTTGATCTTCGTAATCGAGGGTGAAAATTGAATAATCCAGGGTAGTGGGATCTGACCCTAGGCCCGGGGGTGCCCGATAACGCGCTACGATTTTAGGAAACGTACGGGCTACTACAGCAGCGTCCAAATTCATCCGACTAGAAACGTTTCTACTCTTTTTTTTGTTTCCGCGGCCGATAGCTGGGCCAAGTACGCCCCTGGCTCCTCCTTCCCCATCCCTTGGGGATGCAAGTGGCCACTCAGGATGTAGCGGGTGTTTTTTTTTTTTTTTTTTTTTTTTTTTTTTTTTTTTGTTTGTTTTGGCCGAAGGCTTCAATTTCCATAAACAATTTGAGGCCGGGGTCCTCACAGCCAGGATGTAGGGGGTTCGATCCCCACTACCCTTTCCCGGGGTCAAGTCCTACTTACCCGAATGATCGATTTCTGACCGCAGATTCGGAA